TGAGCCACAGCGCCACTTCTGGCTTTTTTCTTTTTGCTTATGTGGTGCTGAGGAATCGAACCCAGGGCTTCAGGCATGCAAGGCAAGCGCTCTACCACTGAGCCACCTTCCCAACCCTCAGATTAGTATTTTAACATAAATTCTTGGAGTATATCAGTCCTGTGTGTAAAATTAAACTTTACATTAGAAAAAAATTCTAAATTGACTCCAGTATTGTGATTTCATTATTTTCATAGCATCTAGCCTAATATTGCTGAATTGCTGCTTCTGTTAATTCATATATTTTTGTGACAGCACTGAGACTTGAACCCAGGGCCTTAAACACTTGCTTAGTGTTCTTGGTCAAAGCTGGTGCTCTACTGCTTAAGCTATACCTTCAAATCTGGCTCTTTGCTGCTTAATTGGATATGAGTTTCTCAGATTTGTCTGCCCTGATGAACTTGAACCTCAGTCCTCAGATCTCAGCCTCATGAATGCCTAGGATTATAGGTGTGAACCTCCAGTGTTTGTCTTTCTCTGTGATCAGTTTCATGTAATGAGAACACATTTGAAAAGCAATTATTGAGGACTGATTAAAGATTACAATATTAAAAACAGAATCTGGTCATAAGAGTAAGTCTAAAGAATTTACAGTTGTAAAGTATTCCACATGATTTGCACAAGATTTTTTTTTATTGTGAAAATATTGTATAGAGAGGTTAAAATTACATGGGCAAGATAAATTGCACAAGATTTTATCTCAAAGTTTATTTGAATTATTAAAGCATTCCTTCAGAAGTGTGATATGTCTATATTTTGATATATATAGATATATATACACACATATATGAATCCATATATCTGATTACAAATTTTCTTTCTTTTTGGTTTGTATGCAGGATGTTAAATTTCCTCTCATGTTGGATGTTTATGAACTATGTACTCCAGAACTACAAGAAAAAATGATTTCTTTTCGATCAAAATTCAAGGATCTAGAAGATAAAAAAGTGAATCAGCAGCCAAATGTAGTAGGTTCTTATTACCAACTTTTTTTTTCTTATTGCCAGCTTTTTAATATTTTAATCTTTAATCAGCCCTCAACAATTACCTTGGATTGTTAACCTATTTGTATAATTGGATGAACTTGTATTTTAATTAGGAAGTGTGCACAGCCTACATATATTGGTGTAATAAGCCTTTAAAATTTCAAATGTAAAAACTAAAGTTAGCATAAGAAACAAGAACTTGATATTTTCTTTTCTGCTGTAACCTGCAGATTGTGTTTCTGTTATATAAACATATATGTGATTGTATTCCTTGTTAGGCTTAGAATCATTCCTATTTTTAGATGGGATTGTAGGTGCCAGAATAGTGATTACTGAATGTGTACTGTTACAACCAAGTCATCTTGGTAGGTGCTTCTTGTATGCTTGGAAATACTAAAATAATAGCATAACATTTAAAAAATTTAGTTATTTTTATTTTTTTGCTGGTGCTGGGGCCTGAACTCCAGGCCTGGCTCTTCAGCTCAAGGTTGGTGCTCTACCACTTGAGCCACAGTGCCACTTCCAGCTTTTTCTGCTTATGTCATGCTGAGGAATCGAACCCAAGGCCTCAATGCATATAAGGCAAGCGCTCTACCACTGAGCCACCTTCCCAGCTCTACTAGTTTTAAGAGGTCTGAATTGTATGTAGAATTTTTTTTCTTGGGCATGAAAAATACCCTACTAGAATTAGCTCACGTTTTTTTTTTTTTTTGTCGGTCATGGGGCTTGAACTCTGGGCCTGGGCGCTGTCCCTCAGCTTTTCAGCTCAAGGCGAGCGCTCTACCACTTGAACTACAGCGCCACTTCCGCGTTTTTTTTTTTTTAAACTGCTATCAGGTCTTGAATTGAGGGTCTTGAGTTGGCACAGCTTGCTTCTCTACTGCTGGTTGTTACCACTTGAGTTCATCTCCCACCTGGCTATTCATTGGTTAGTTGGAGATGGAGTCTCTCAGACTTTTCTGCTTTGGTTGGCTTTGAGCCAAGATCCTTTGGATTTCAGTCTCCTGAGTAGCAAGGATTACAGGCATAGCTATTGATATCTGGCTAATACCACGTCTTAAAATTATATTTGTATGTATGTGTTAAAAGCACCTGTTAAAAAATTAAAATTTATTTTGAAGTAATTCTGGAAATCACACTCAGTTATCAGAAAGAATACTGAGAGGTCTGAAGTTTTCTTCCCCTAGTTTTCCCCAGTGGTAGCTTCCTATACACTGTAATGAAATGATCACAGTTAGGTTGCTGACATTGATACATTTATTTTACCACAAAGATCCTTCATAGTTGCCTTTTGTAGTTACACTGTCCTCTGCCCTCAATTCTTTGCAACCACTAATCACTTCCCTTTCTACAATTTTGTTGTTTCCCAAATAGTGCATGAATGAAATAGAAAATTTTCCATTTTAAAATAACCTTTTGGTGTTGACTTTTCCCCAGATTTGTCTAGGTTATTATGTAAGGATTCTTTCCTTTTTATTCTTTAGTATTTCCTGGTATTGATATATCACAGTTTGCTTAACCATGCAACTATTAAAGAACATCTGGATTATTTCCAGTTTTCGTCTGTTTGGTAGAGTTTAAGTATTCATGTAGATTTTAGTGTAAATATAGTTGTATATCGGTTGCTATTTAGTTTTTCAAGAATGCCAAACATTTTCCTAGAGTGATATCATCTTACATTACATTTTATGGCAGTAGGTGACACATTCACTGTCTCCATGTTCTCAGCAGAATGAGAGTCCAAATTGCTAAAAGCTGGTGAAAATTCTTCCGTGCAGAATATGCCAAATAATTTATGAGTAGCCTGTTATTTTGTCTTAATACTTTGTAGCCAGTAAATGTGGGAAAACGAATATTCAGCAAGAATGTAAATGTTATTTCCAATATAATGATTTAAGATGTTTTTTTCTCAGTGTGACAAGAAGGGTAGTCCACAGAAAGAAGTTAAATATGAACCCTTTTCATTTGCGGATGGTAAGTCAACATTTGAGTTTTTATGTTTATATGTATGTTGGTAAAGATCTGTCTTGCCACATACTTATTAAGATAAATATTTTTTGTCTTGTTGGTTGTGGGACTTGAACTCTGGGCCTGAGCATTGTCCCTGAACTCTTCAGTTCATGGTGAGCTGCTCTACCACTTGAGCCACAGAGCCACTTCTGGTTTTCTGGTAGTTAATTGGAGATAAAGAGTCTCACAGGCTTGAACCCCAGTACCTGGCTAAGATAAACTTTTTAAAATTGTTACTTGAAGACTATTTTGCCTTAATATGACAAACAGTATAATTGCACTTTAAAAATATCATTCATGGGGCTGGGAAGGTGGCTCAGTGGTAGAGCGCTTGCCTTGCATGCCTGAGGCCCTGGGTTTGATTCCTCAGCACCACAAGCAAAAGGAAAAAAGCCGGAAGTGGCGCTCTGGCTCAAGTGGTAGAGCGCTAGCCTTGAGCTGAAGAGCTGAGGGACAGTGCTCAGGCCCAGAGTTCAGGCCCTACAACCGTACCCCCCCAAAAAAAGTATCAATCATGAAGCCTTCATTCTAATTAGTTTTCTTCCTGGATTGTAAAAAACTAGATTACTAATCTGAACATTTTTTTTTTTGTTGTTACCTCCCTTGAGAATACACTTGTATTCATTGTCTAATACTAATGGACTTGTATTTCTTTAGATATTGGCTCCAATAATTGTGGATATTATGACTTACAAGCAGTGCTGACACACCAGGGAAGGTCTAGTTCATCAGGTCATTATGTATCATGGGTGAAAAGAAAACAAGGTAAAGAATTCTGCACTGTGTTTTCAATTGTTGAGTACTCTTTTGTTACATATTTTATAGCAATGATTTTTTGTCATAGAACTATATTTTCTATTTTTTTCCCTCACTGTCGGTACTATACATTTGTTCTTTAAAGGTTCTAGAGCTTTTGTTTATGAAGTCTGTCTCTTAATTATTCCCAATATTAGCAATTAAGGTAGAGAAATTAAATTCACTAAAAACAGTAGTAAATGCATTACATATTAATAACATTTTTTAGTTAATATAGTAACTTTCAGAATTTACGGGGGAAAAAAAAGTGAGCTGGGTGCTGGTGGCTCATACACCTATAAGCCTATCTACTCAGAAGGCTGAGATCTGCAGATTAAGGTTTAAAGCCAGTTTAGGCACATGAATTCTTGAAACTCATCTTCAATTAACCAGCAAAAACAAAACAAACAAACAAAAAGTAGGAGGGAGGCCTGGCTCCAGGACTGCCAACTGTGAGCAAAACAGCTAAACAGTAGCCCAAAGTCCTCAGTTTGTGCCCTAGTACTGGCACCAGAAAAATAAAGGTGGGAAACAGTACTGGTTTACATTTTTATGCCTTCCTATTATCTGGCCTAACAGAAAATAGCTGGATTTTTATATCTGTCTTGCATTTCTTATCCTTCTTTCCTCCCTCTTTTTTCTTCCTTCACCCTTGTTGCCTCCCCTTCCCCTCTTCTTCCTTCCTCTCCTCCTTGTGCTGGGAATGAAAGCCATGGCCTTGTACAGGATAGATAACCTCTGCCAGAACTAGACCACAATCCACTCTCAGATTGATTTGTCTGTTAAAGTATCATCTTATGCAGGCTCTGGGAGGAGTCTCTAGTTAGTATTGAAATTGTTGTCATTATGGAACCATTAATATTCTCAAAGCTGTGTGGTCCCTGAATGACACTTGGAGGGCTGTTAGCTGGTAGGTGGGAGTATTGCAGTACATCAAGTCAAATCTGATTTTGGAAACAAATAGAACTTTGAAGAGTTATTTTCTTGCTCTTTAGATGAATGGATCAAGTTTGATGATGACAAAGTCAGCATCGTAACACCAGAAGACATCCTGCGGCTGTCTGGTGGTGGTGACTGGCACATTGCTTATGTTCTACTCTATGGGCCTCGCAGAGTTGAAGTAATGGAAGATGAAAGTGAACAATAATCTTCAATTTAGCTATTTATGCTTAGATGTGAGATAATGTTATTTGTTGATCATTTCTATAATCCAGAGCTTTAAAGAAAGACCTTTAGGTGGTTTTGTTTCCCTCATGTGGAACAAGAGAGCAGAATCAGACCACTTGTGCATCAATCAGAAAATTATAGAAAATTGACTTTGGATATGCTGCCCTGTATAAAAGTGGCTGGAAGATGTCCTTTAAAAACTTATTTCTTACAGTAATTCTTAAAAAAAATTTAGTTGAAATGTCTTTCAACCATTACATTCTGTCATCTATTTTCAGCCCAAGACTCAGTAGTGATGTTTATTGCACACTTATTACCTACTACTATTTGTTCTTGCATGGTTCACTTTACCATTCAGTAAATAGCTGCCCATCCTTTGCCTTATCTAACAAAAAATTTTTCCAGGTTGATGGAAAAGGAAGTGTTGCTTTCATCGTATAACTCAGTGCTGCTGGTCCACATCCCATGGAAACATGGGTGCAATCAAGTATTTGTCCAGCCTGACCGTTGCTGGCTTTTCCTGACAAAATAAATTTGTGATCAGTAAGATTATATTTGATTATACATTTATTATTGTGTCTGATGTACTATGGTTTGTACATTTAACTTTGCAATGGTTTTGTAGTAATCAGCTTTAAAAATGTTGAGCTCTGGTTGCTTATTTTTAGAAAATGAGGATATTTAATAAAAAAAAAAAAGAGGGATTATAGTTTTTGACCTGAAGTCTTTGTCTTTTTAGTGTTGGAGTTCGGCTGAAGATTCAGATACATTTAATAAAACTTCTGCAGATTAATATTACTGTGCTGTTGAGCATCCATTTAAGAGGTAACTTCGTTGCCTGCTCATATCCCACTTAGAAACACAAAGTTTTTATATGGATTTCTTTGGATGCTGGCTGCAGTGATGTTTTACCAGATTCATTTCTTGACTCATTTGTTATGTTTATACTCTTATGTTCCAAAAACTTAAATGTCCATCTCAAAATTTATAATCAGTGGTTTTAAAGTTATGATGAAAATACCAGAGTATGACATATTTGATTATGATGGTTTCCTTTTAATATATTCTAACTAGTTATTGATAGTTGTTTCTGGAGCCTTGATTGCTAAGGAAAGAGGTAAAGATACATCAGTAGCTAACTGGCTTGAGTTATGTATTTATAATAAAGTTTAGGGATTATCATGCATCTCTTATTTTTATGTTTTAATGCTCTGCAGAACCATTAAGACTGTTAGGGAATAATGTCCATTTTCCTCTCAAATCTGTAACTTAACTAGGGGATAAACATTTCAGCTTTGTAAATAGTTCTCACCTGAACTGATTTGGCAATCAATACTAGGAAGATGTAGGATAATGGTGAAAAGTAGAATGGAGTGAGACCCTAAGAATTGTGATTTGTGTCAATCTTGTAACTTTCCAGCTCTTTTACTCATGGTTTCATTTGGTTAGAATAGTTGTAATAGTAAACTTAGCAGTTTAAAATCAGATTTTGTTAACCTACTAGATAATGAAGCTACTAGCCAGGTGAAGCTGGCTTAGAATGATGTAAAAGCCTTGTATAGAATATATTAAGGATTTTAAAAGCTGTATTTACTTTTCCTTGTCATTACGAAGCTCAGTTTCATTTTATTTGATGCAAAAGCATTATTCCAAAGGCATTTTTAAAGCAGATGTTGGATTTAGTTTTAAACTAAGGCTAGTTTAGAATCCAGCCTTGTGTAGGTCTCTGAGAAGGAAGAGTAGGCAAAAGTCATCTTGATTCCTGAATGTGCCTTATTTGCTGTGCCATTACCACTGAGGTCCTTTCAATATTAGAGCTGTGGAGGAGTGAAGCCCAAACAAGAGCATTACAGTGCTCTGCACTCATTATATTTTCTTCAGATCACCAACTATGGCCTGAGCTTTGGATCCTGAAGGAGCTGTGTGTGGAACAGGGCAGTAGTAGATGGCACTACCTATGTTCAGCAATTTGTTCAGTTCAGCCATTTCTACAAAGTGTTGTACTGCGTACAGGTGCTTGCACATCTCATTTGAACTTCACAATAATCCCTGGTGTGTAGTTAGGTTAAGGATTTAAGAGATCAGAAGATTCTTGTAAGGCTTAAAGAATGAAGTTTTAGACCTCATTTCTTTTAAAGTTGAGGGCTGGCAAACATTTTTTTGTATTGGGCTGTCACAACTGCTTTGCTATGGTAGTGGGACAGGTGTCACAGTACTCAGTGTTGTTGCCAATAAAATTTGGTAATAAAGACATGATGAGAAGACCAGTTTGCTGATATCTTTAACACATGAAAAGGAACAAAACAGTCACAAGGTTTCAGAAAGTCACTGTAGGATAGCTAGATTTTGTAACTACTAACAGCATGCAGAAAACTAATTTCATATTAGTGCTATTTAACTTCATTATAAATATATATAACAAAAATACTTTGTGATTTTGACGTTACTTCATTTTGGCCATTTTCCCAACCCACCTTCCCATCCCTTCTGAGGTTTGAGCCAATGTGTGTTCTATTTCTTGGAGCACCACCCAACTGTACAACTGTTATAAAAATGTTTATTGTTTACCAAAACCAGTGGACCTCTTATCAAATGCTGCTTGGTAACAAAATCTTATCACAGTTTTAATAAAAAAGAAAAGAATCTAACTATTTGTCTCGTCATTAGTTAGACTTTCTGCAAGGTCACTTAATCCAGACTTGTTTAGTGCACTAATCAGACTATCAGGTGTTGCGTGGACTCCTTCTTGATCCTGCCAGGCAACCAGGAGCTGCTTGGCTCGCATCTTCATGTCTTCACTGTCACATTCAATCTGCCTAATTTCAGAGTCTTTCATTTCCAAGTACGGAGCCAGAATCTTCCATTGTTCGCCAAGCTTATTGGCAAATAACTCTAGCTGTTCCCCAGTGACAGGTTTATCTCGCCGAACATCAGGACCTAGGAAACAGAAAATATAAATTATCAACAAAGTACAATGATATGCAGTCCTAAGTATACAACAGAACAGGAAAGCTATAGGAACACTAGGATATTATTCACTTTAATGAGTATTACTTTAAAACAACTTTATATTCTCCTTACAGTCATGGTCATTAGATCAACACCATTGTACTATAACTATGAAGACTTTGCCTGAAAGTAGCTGCTCCCCTCTAGCTCCCAAGAATCAGAGGAATGGTATTGCCTAAAGTATTACTCTTTCCTTTTAATTCCTTACTATAAATCAGAAGCAGAACTGAGATAAGTTGAGAAGTAGATCAAATTAAATAACGTACCTCTCAACCAAGAACCCCAATCTTTTCCAATTTTGTAAAATAGCCAAGAAAATTCAATTCTTACTTTCATTTTCCTTCAGTAAAGCATCATTATCTTCTTCATCTTCATCCTCACCTGTTTTTATTTCTTCAGAAGGAGGCTAAAGATGCAGGAAAGAACATTTTAATGAATGCCAACTTTTTTTCCCCCCAGGCCTGGGGCTTGAACTCTGGGCCTGAGTGCTGTCCCTGAGCGTCTTTGTGCTCAAGGCTAGTGCTCTACCACTTGAGCCACAGTGCTATTTCAAGTTTTTGAGTAGTTGGAGAAAGGGACTTTTCTGCCCCAGGCTGGCTTCAAACCGTGAGCCTCAAATTTCAGCCTCAGTCTCCTGAGTAGCTAAGATTACAGGCGTACAGGCATGACACACTGAAGCCTGGTTAAACATGACAACTTCTGAAGTAAGAAAGCTAGAGATGGCTTTAGTTTAGGTAAAGTAGTTATAAGATCCCCAGTACAGGGCCTCAGAACAACTCCGGGCCCCTAGCTTGGGCAAGTAGTGAAAAGCATGGCAAACCCATGTGTAAATATCTGGGGTTATTAAGTTATATGTTTGGAGGGAAGACTACAGGATCGCAACAATACATTAGAAAATTGTGTTGGAAAAAAGATAGGCCAGCTACCATTTGACTATCTGATAGGAAACATTATAATGCATTGACAAACAGGAAAAATTCAAGTCTTAAGTTTAAATTTGTATCAAATTCAAATTTGTGCATTTTCTAAAAATGTATGTGTATACTCAATTGCATTTTTTCTATCATGTGGTGTGTACGTTTTTTTATTTTTTTAAAACATGAGATACTAAATTCACCTCTTTGCCCAAACTGATAGAAATTTAGCAAAGAAGATAATGTCAACTAAGTAGTATGGAAAAAGTGATATATGTACTTACTGGTAATTCCTTGGCTAGCTTTATTACCATGTTTTCAAGGTATTCTGGCAAACTTTTGAACTGCTGGTTGGTTGGCTGGAAGAAATGAGGGCTTCTCCGTGCTAATAGTCTGAGGGCTCTCCAACCGTAATTTGAATTGTTCACAGCTCTAATGAAAAGAGATGTCAATTTTGCTACCACATTCAGCTGATAAATTCTGTATCAACAAATCCTTATTGAACTAGGCACTCAGGAACTATAAGGTTTTGTAGACCGTGCATTCTGAACACAGAGGCAAAACAACACTACAGTAGAGCAGGGCCTCAAGGTTACAGTGGTTTTCCTAGCTCTGCATTTACTGCCCGAGGACTTCAGGAAATTATCCTGAGAAAATTCCAGACATACAATATTGCTGAATGTATTGGTAAGTATCATTACTGATAAAAGACATTTACATGTGACAACTTTAGATGCTACAGGAGTAAGTCACACAGGGACTAGGGCAGGGAAGTGTATCTCAGCAGGGAGATCCGAAGTGAGTGACCGGGAAGCTCTGGGGGTGGGGGTGGGGGTAGGGGTGTCACGTGAGCCAGATGGTATATATTCTAAAGAGGAAGACAAATAGTTGGTATGCTTAAAGTCAAAAAGTAGCAAGATGTATCTGCAGAGGCAGGTATGATCCAGATCAAGGAGGCCTAAAAAAGTTATTGGAAGGAGTCTGGAATAGTCACTCACTATTAAAATTGGAAGTATGAGATTAGGATTGTGATTTAAATTTAATCAATTTTGATTTTATAGACAGGTTTCACTATATAGACCCCTGGCTGGTCTCACATATAACCGCTTCATCAGCCTCCGGTGCTGGGATTACAGGTATGTGCTATTTCTGGTCCTTGCACATATATTTTAAAGTTCACTGATGCATGAAGAACTGACCATAAGACTAGTTTAAGAGATCACAGTGACTAAAAAAACACTGCAAAAGTGACACTAATCATGCATATCAAATGCTTGTTTTATTCTATCCATGTTCAATGTGAATCTTTTTATTTAATCTTCAGAATAGTCATGTGAAATGAGCTATTAATATGAACACTTAATAGATGAAGAAAGGGGACATAGGAGTATTTTTTTTTTTTTTTTGGTTCAGTTGTGGGGCCTGAACTCTGGGCCTGGGTACTGTCCCTCAGCTCTTCAGCTCAAGGCTAGTGCTCTACCACTTGAGCCACAGCACCACTTCTGGCTTTTTTCTTTTTGCTTATGTGGTGCTGAGGAATCGAACCCAGGGCCTCATGCATGCAAGGCATGCGCTCTACCACTGAGCCAACTTCCCAGCCCCATAGGAGTATTTTTCCAGTAAGTGGTAGAGGTGGGAACTTTATGCATCCTGACGAGGGCCCTTACTCTTAAATCACTACGGTGTCACCTGGAACATTCTAGATAAACAAGCTGTGACTGAGTCCTGAAATTAGTCCAAACTGAGAGTTAGGCAGCGAATGAACTGCCAACAATGGAGACTGACAGGAAGAGCAAGGGACCAAAGTAATGAGAGTAGTTTCAAGGATGTTGACAGGAGAGTGTAATCTTAGGAAGGACAGGTTCACTGTTGCAGGGCCAAAGAATGGCCTGCACAGAGCTACTGCACTGGCCACTGACAGATGAGAATTATGTTGGCTGTTTTGAGAGGCTGCTTTGAAGGGAACACAGAATAGAGGTGACAGAGGGAGAGAATGATTTTTTTTTCTTGTACTTTGAAACAAGTGTAAATTCAAGTCATATGATAAGAATAATCCTTGAAATCAGGATGTACAACAATTTGAACATGGTTCATTATGGTACATTCACTCTGCGCTACTCTGTCAATTACCCCTTTAAGTTTACTAGTATACACAGAATTGCCAAGAGTAATGGAGGAAATTAAAATCAACTAATGAAAAAATTTACTTACTTATATTCATTTTCAACCATGTTTTCAGGGTCTGCTTGTTCAATGGCTTCTTCAAAGAACTCCTCCAAAGTTGGCATGTATTCCCTGGGCATTATAAAGTAACTAGTGAGCATAAGGGATTAATAACATGTTGTAATGGTACTCAAACGTTAAATAGAGTTAGGAATATATTAAACTTAAGAACTCACTTTTTTTGTTGGTAGTGGGACTTGAACTCAGGCCCTGGGTGCTCTCCCCTCAAGTTCCTTTTGCTCAAGGCTAGCACTCTACCACTTGAGCCAAAGTGTCCCTTCTAGCTTTTTCTGAGTAGTCTATTGGAGAAGAGAGTCTCACAGACTTTCCTGCCCAGGCTGGCTTTGAACCATGATTCTCAGATCTTAGCCTCCTGAGTAGCCAGGATTATAGGTGTGAGCCACTGGTACCTGACTGTAACTCCACACTTTTAAGGAGTTAAAAACAGTTAAAGCTAACCTCTCAAAAGGGGCAATAAAAAGGGTGTAGTCTGATGATTATTTAACATCTACTATGCATTACTTACAAATAAAAGGTTCTGAGGTTGACCAGGGGTTTAAAAGCATTTGAACAGAAAAAATTCAAATTCTGTCCTCACCCAATAACATGTTTTTAAGTCCCAAGTTAGTAAAAACCAAAGCTAATAACCACACAAGAGTTTAGCTTTTAACTCTATAATTTAGATTACTATGGCAATATTTTAAAAAATTGGGTCTTTCTGGAATTTGTAGACATAAGATTCTGATACCCACACAAAGAAATGATACCCAATGAGCAAATTAGATGTTCTACATCTTTGACTAAAGCTAGAAAAAAAGAAAAAGCTCTCAACAAAAAGAGAAGCCCCAAATCTTTTGATACAATATTTCATTATAATGACATGCTTCCTAGCCAGTAACTATGACAGACCAGTGAGTCTGCCACCATTCTTTCCTTTTTGTCAGTCGTGAGGCTTGAACTTAGGACCCAGACGCTGTCCCTGAGCTGGTTTTCACTCAATGCTAGCACTCTCCCACTTTGAGCCACATCTCCACTTTTGGTTAATTGGAGATAAGAGTCTCATGGTTTTCTGCTTGGGTAGGCTTTGAACCACAATCCTCAGATCTCAGCCTCCTGAGTTAGCTAGGAGTACAGGTGTGAGCCACCAGCACCTGGCTACTCTTTCTTTATTACAACAGACAAAACAGGATTTCACAGTAAATAGTTATCATTCACAAATGTTTTGGAACCATTTACCACTTTATTTTCTATTTCAAGTCAGGTGCTGGTGGTATAATCCTAGCTACTCAAGAGACTGAGATTTGAGAATTGTGGTTCACAGCCAAGGTGATCAGACATATCTAAGCAACTCATCTTCAATTAACCAGCAAAAAGCCAGAACTAGAGGTATGGTTCAAGAGGTAGAGGGCCAGTTGTGATCCAAAAACCCACCCTTTTATAGGAGCTGAAGGGCCTCTAATTCAAGCCCCATTACCAGTACACACACATATACAAGATTTAACGTGTCTATAGCCATAATCCCAGGCTTCTGCCATATTGGTGTCAAGGCTTAAAATACTACAAATATAAGCTCCCCCTGCCTGCTCCCCTTAGTTCATTCTTTAGTCTCAGCAGGTGGCTACTGTTCAGAATTTGATAAATAATTCTTGTACATTTTAGAAAAATAACATCATCATTATTATTATTGGTGCTGGTCCTGGGGCTTGAACTTGGCCTGGATGCTGTCCCTTAGCTTTTTTGCTCAAGGGTAGTAGCACTACCACTTAAACCAACAGCTCCACTTCCAAATTTTTTGCTGGTTACTTGGAAATAAGAGTCCTATGGATTTTTCTGATGGCTTAGAACTGGGATCCTCAGATCTCAGCCTCCTGGTAGTCAGGATTATAAGGTGGGAGATACTGGCACCTGGCTGACAAGTAACATTCTTCCTCTTTTTTTTTTTTTGTTGGTTGTGGGGCTTGTCTGGGCCTGGGCGCTGTCCTTCAGCTCTTCAGCTCAAGGCGAGCGCTTGAGCCACTTGAGCCACAGTGCTACTTCCCATTTTCTGGGTAGTTTACTGGAGGTAAGAGTCTCACAGACTTTCCTGCCCAGGCTCACTTTGGCTTCTAATAACATTCTTAAAAAATAATGGCATTCTTTGTATTCATGGTTTGTTTTTCCTGAGTATGTCAGGACTGATAGAGAAGTTTTTATCCATTAATTTTCTGATCCTATGTAGTTTTCTACTGAATTGCCACAAGTTCTTCAAAGTGATATATGAGGAATAGTAGTAAGTAAGGTATTTCCTATTCTTTGCTTTGAGATGGTAAACATTCTTATATTCTTTGTTTTTTTTGGGTCCGGTCGTGGGCCTGAACTCTGGGCCTGGGCACTGTCCCTCAGCTCTTCAGCTCAAGGCTAGCGCTCTACCACTTGAGCCACAGCACCACTTCTGACTTTTTTCTTTTTGCTTATGTGGTGCTGAGGAATCGAATCCAGGGCCTCATGCATGCAAGGCAAGCGCTCTACCACTGAGCCACCTTCCCAGCCCCATTCTTATATTCTTATATCCTTGTTTGGATGAATTAGTTTATTTAGGCATCAGGGCCTTCATACTTGTACAGCAACCCATAGTAGAAAATTCATTTTATGTCACAACAGAATACACATACATATATGAAAATATATATGGCATATATAAGTAGAAAATGCCAGATGTCTTTGAAGTGGCTATATCACTAGATCAAACCACCATCAACGGCAAATTACCCACAATTCTTTCTTTTTGTTGTGTTTTAGTTTTAAATTTTATTGTCAAGGTGATGTACCGAGGGTTACAGTTACATAAGTAAGGCTGTGAGTACATTTCTTGTTGAACTTGTTACCCCCTACCCACAATTCTTAAAATGAGGAAATTACTGCTTCTCTTGATCCTAAGATTGCCTGTGGTGGTGGTTTTTTTTTTTTTTTTTGGCCAGTCTTGGGGCTTGAACTAAGGGCCTGGCTATTGTCCCTGAGCCATTTTGTGCTCAAGGCTAGTACTGTACCACTTGAGCCACAGCACCACTTCCAGCTTTTTCTGGTGGTTGGTTGGAGGTAAGAATCTCATGTACTTTGCTGCCAGGGCTGGATTTAAACTGTAATCCTCAGATCTCAGCCTCCTGAGTATCTAGGATCACCGGCATCCTGCTTTATACGTTTTAACAAAGGAAAAAAACCTCTTGGTTCCATTTCCTAGTCTATTATACTTTTTTAACCTTTCTATTTCCTTGCTTCTGAGCAGTGCTTTTTATAGATGAACAATTGTTTGTGTGTTTGTGCTGGTCCTGGGGCTGGTTGCTGTCTCTGAGCTTTTTTACTCAAGGCCAGTGCTCTGCTACTTGAGCTACAGCTCACTTCCAGCTTCTGATGGTTAACTGGGATAAAATCTCATTGACTTTCTGCCTGGGCTGGCTTCAAACTGAGATCCTCAAATCTCATCCCTCCGAGTAGCTATGATTATAGGCATGGGCCACCAGTGCCCAGCTATTAAACTTTTAAAATAATTTACCTTTTCATCCAATTTATTGAGGAATACTTAAGCATACTGATTTAGATTTTTTTTTTGAATTTCTATCTTCATCCTCTTTTACATGCTTTTTTTTTTTTTTTTTTTTAAATGCAAGGCCTGGGCTTGAACTCTAGCACTCTACTACTTCAGCCATAGCTCCACTACCCTAGCCTCTTTTCAGTTTAGCTACTTTTTAGATAAGAGTCTTGTATTTCTCTCCAAGGACTGGCCCTTATACTCCAATCTTACCCAGATTCCAGTGTAGCTGGGACCACAGATGCATACCACTACGCCTGCTGTATTAACTGAGATGGGGTCTTGCTGACTTGCCTATTTTAGCCTTGAATCATGATCCTTGTGATCTCTGCCTCCTGACTTTAACAAGATTTACCCAGATTTCTTCATGTATACAAATATACATTCCTGCAGAGTAATACTTCTAACAAAATCTTCCCTTCTGGGTTCAATGTTCTTTATGGTAACTTTTTTTCTTAAAGTAGGGTTGCTGGTAAGAGATTCTCAAAGTATTGACATTAAACTACTGTTTTCTCTCTCTTTCAAAATAGTATTAGTATTCAACCCAGGGCCTTGTTCATACACCTAAGCTACTCCTCCAGATCTAAAAGTAAATGCTTGTCACATTCAAGTAACTACATAATTTAGTTTGTTGTAGAACTCTGGACTGATAACTCTGTGTAAACACTTTGAAGCTATTATTCCACTGGCTTTTGACTTTCTTTTGTTCTTGAAGGCAGCTCTTTTGCAGGGTGACTTTTCTTTCTTTGATAACTTTTTCACACAAGAGAACGATTTTTTAGCTTATTCTTTTTATTTATTTATTTTTGTCATGGGGCTTGAACTTGGGGCTTGGGCGCTGTCCTTGTGCTCTTCAGCTCAAGGCGAGCCCTCTACCGCTTGAGCCACAGCACTACTTCCAGTTTTCTAACAGTTTATGGGAGATAAGAGTCTCACAAACTTTCCTGCCCGGGCTGGCTTTGAACCACGATCTTCAGATCTCAGCCTCCTGAGTAGCTAGGATTACAGGCGTGAGCCACTGGCGCCCGGCATTTAGCTTAATTCTTAAGACACATCTTGTAACTAATAGTTTATGCTGATTCTCAGTTACCAAATATGACCTTTCTTATGGTCGTTCATGGGGCTTGAACTCTGGGCCAGGGTGCTGTCCCTGCGCTCTTCAGCTCAAGGAAAGCGCTCTACTGCTTGAGCCACAGCACCACTTCATTTTCTAGTGGCTTTTATTGGAGATAAAGAGTCCCACGGACTTTCCTGCCCGGGCTGGCTTTGAACCGCGATCCTTAGATCTCAGCCTCCTGAGTAGCTAGGATTAGAGGCGTGAGCCACCGGCACCGGCTCAAATATGACCTTTCTTATTCTCCATTCTAAGATTTTTGTTCTATTGTTTTTCTATTTTCTCCATTCTAAAACATTACTTGCTTTTTCAAATTCATCTGGTTCTTTCTGGCAGTCTCATGTTTGATCTTTTGTTTTCAGTTGCTATTCAGCTATTTTTAATTATGTGGAACATATCTTACACTGCATTTGTCTGTCTTTTTAAAAAACAACCAGAACAGAACACTCATGGTAGAATGTATATCAAGCTATCAAGGGGAGGGGAACATTTTTTGTCTGCCAAAGGCCACATCACATGGATGTTTATAACACCAATGATAGGTCATACAAAACCCATTGCATTGTCAATTCAGGCAAACAGCTTCTCATGTACCAAATGATTTTGTGGGCCTTATTTGGCTTGAGGGCCAGATATTCCTCATTAGACTTTTATCTGTATGAGCCTAGTGTGATCTGATTCAAAGGTATTAACCCCCTCCCTCCCCTGGCACCCACAGCTTAAGACAGATTTTACTACCAGTTTGGGACTTTCTAGGTGTTTTAGCTTAGAAAGTTCCTTTATGACGTTGATAGTATAAATAAATGTAAAATATTACAAATACAATGAAAGCAAGCACATCATTTTAATTGTTTGGGAAATCTCTTTCCCCTTCTTCCACACTTTAGTAGAAACAGACAAGCTTCTAGGTTTCCTGTACCAGGAGCCTTATCCCTGCTCTCTTGACCCTTCTTTTCCAGATGGTACCTCCACATTGATCTCAGCTTTACTTACGGGAAATTGGCTTGCAAGCCTAAGGCTTTATTCTGTTCATGACTACTATCACCAAGTTCCCTGCTTTTCCAAACAGGAAAACATCTGCTCCCAGCTTGATAAAACCACAGCAGTTCAATTTATTCTTCTGGTATTTACGTTTGATTCCTTTTGTGACTCTATTTACTTACTTTATTTTGTCAGCATTTTTGGATGTTATATGGAGGGAGCCATATTGTGCTGTGCCAACAGTCAGCCACAGCAGGCTTTCCACTTTCTTTTGAGCTGATCACTGCTGAGAAAAGGCTCTGTTCTATTTTATGAACACTGAAAAAATTAAATCTTTAAAATGTTTTAAACTTACCTTGTGTCTGATTTACAGGCTTCCATATTGTCTGGACAGAGATTCCAAAGCCTTGTTAATTCGTCACTACAAAATAAGCAAAATTTTTATGCACATCATCTGCATATGACTTAAAGCTGAACACAAGAACAACGTAACAGTGGATTTCTGGGTGGTGATGAGTAGTTTTGCTTTTCTCTCATTTTATTTGGCATTTAAATTTTCTACATTAGGATATATTAGATAATAATCTTGTAAGATTTTTTACTTTTCTCTCATTTGGCATTTAAATTTTTTATATTAGGATATATTAGATGATAATCTTATAAGATTTTTGGAAATATTAAAGTACAATAAAAAGTAATAAATTGTTAATTAGGAGTAACTATCCAAACATTAGTGTACCATGCAAAAACTGTAAGGGTGATTTTCTTATCATAACAGGGAAAAATGGCATAGCTAGAGCCAGGAATTTTGGAAATGGAAATAAAATGAAGGTTTACAGTTCACATGAACTCATACAATGGCACTTTAGAGTGATAGGTAGGGTTAGATGTAGTCACTTATGTTAGGTGAAAAGCTGGAGTTCTTAGAGTAACCTCTTCAAAACACAAAAATACTCAAGAACATCCTACCGAAGAAGACAAGTTAACTTACTTTCCCATGAGTATTTTTTTGTTTGCTCCTTTGCCTAGGAAGTCTTCTGGGGCTGTTCTCTTCCGTACCACTCTTGTGGGCTTGGTATCTGATGTCCTGTGGTTAACACAAGTAAAACATACATGAAAGCTTATGACAGGACACTATCACACAGAATACAAAATGCCATACAATAGACAAATTTTAAGATGCCCTATTTTCAGTAAGTGATTTGATCAATTTGTTCTGAGAACTTAACTTCAAGAAATCTGAGGAAAAAAATACAAAGGTCAACTTGGTAGCACTTTTATAGAAAAGTCTATTACTGGGGCTGGGAAGGTGGCTCAGTGGTAGAGCACTTGCCTTGCATGTCTGAGGCCCTGGGTTCGATTCCTCAGCACCACATAAGCAAGAAGAAAAAAGCCAGAAGTGGCACCTGTGGCTCAAGTGGTAGAGCGCTAGCCTTGAGCTGAAGAGCTGAGGGACAGCGCCCAGGCCCAGAATTCAGGCCCCATGACTGGACCCCCTTCCCCCAAAAAAAAGAAGTCTATTACTTTACCTTTTAACTTACATTTTTTAAAATAAAAAATACACATATACATATCCATACAAGATATAAAATAATCTAACAATCAAACCATACTTTGAAATTCCTTTCTTCTATTTCTTTTGATGGAATGTATTTACCTTTCTTTCACAAAACTTGGGCAGCCTTCATTTTTCCATGAGTTCCAATTTTCTTCAGTGTTTAATATATGCTGGGAAAAACAAAGAGATTTCCTTTGTGTAACAGAATCCTTTGAGGTTATATGTGATGCTATGGAAACTATAAATGTCAAATACATACCTCTACCATCTTTGAAAATCTTTCTCCATCAGGGGGGTTTTCAGATAGTAGCTGTGATTAGAAAGAATATACTAAGCTTTCAACAACTTTCTGCATCATAGGAGTGGTTTGTAGGCAGAGAACCAAGAAGTGTTTGTGTTCTTGTACCTGAGCTTAACTTTATCCTTATTTTCCTATTTGGGGCTGAAACAAAGAAAATTCTAAATTTCCATTTTTGTCAATCATAGGTTTGTTGCATGTTGGACTTACTTGATAGACTGATTTTGTAGTATCTTCAATCCAGAGTGATTGCTCATCAGTTAAAACATAGTTTGAACTAGGGAAAGAAGCAATAAAAGCATGTATGAGTTCCAGCAGTGCATATTAACTTACAAGTTTATTTAGGGTCTTAAAAAACAGGGCATGCACCACACAAATTAACTATATTTAGTGCCAAATATTACCAACATTAGAAATATTACAAATGAAAGGATTATGTGAGAAAGTTCTTGCACTTCTTATACACTGAGTGACAGAACTGAAGACATATACGTGTACTAGGGAGAAGAAAAGATCTGATTAACTGATATGGTTACAAAGGCAATTGTACGTGGTTTTTTATTTTATTTTTTTGTCAGTTGTGGGGCTTGAACTCAGGAAATGGGTGCTGTCCTTGAGCCTCTTTGTGCTCAAGGCTAGTGATCTACCACATGAGCCACAGCACCACTTCCCGTTTTCTGGTGGTTACTTGGAGATAAGAGTTTCACAGGGACTTTTCTACCCTGGCTGGCTTTGAGCCATAATACTCAGATCTCAGCCTCCTGAGTAACTAGGATGACAGGCGTGAGCCACTGGCACCATTAATGTTTTATAAATTTAATATGAGATGAAAGCCTGTGGGCTAATATCCTACACATGATCCATATAAGCATGCTATATTCCTACAGAACTCGTTCAGAATATGATGAAAAGATTTAAACCCTAAAAAAGGGTACAGGCAAACTTAAATTTTTTCAGCTCCAATTAAGTAAGCTCTCACTATGCACCAGGCACTTTAAAGCCATCCAACCAATACTGATAAATTACCATGGTACCAGGATCTGGAGCACTGTACACGGTACCCGCTGAAACCTCAGAACCATCTCGAGTACATAATATGCACAGAATTTAATGGCTCAATAATGCACTCAAGGTCATAAAGCTTGGATTCACACCTACATCTAATTCCAAACACCCTGATCTTCGTATTACACTGTACCACACCCCCCAAAATAAAAGAATGACATTTTGGAGTATGTACCATGAGCTACCTTGAAATTACAATTCTCAAAGAGCCTCTTTGAGGCCAATAAGTGATGACACTGCAGGTCAAGCTGAGCAGGTCATAAAGTCATGTCCTTTACAGACTCACTGTCAAGCCACAGGGGGCTCATTTCAATTACGAACAGGATGAGAAGATACAGTATGCCTGGAGTGGAGGGATTTAGATACATAGTAGAGATCCTGATGAGGTTTTATGAAAATGCAGACAAAGGAACTCATGTTTGCTTTAACATTTTCTTTGTAGCTTTCAGTTCTGATGTTCTGGACAGTTTCATAACTTATGATATATAAGTACTGGAAGAAGGTGATAAAAACCTAGACCAGGGATCAATTTCCCGTTAATAGAAATGAAAATGCCTTAGAAGACCTGGAACTACATAGGAGATTTTCCCTCAAAACAACTATCCTGTGTCTAAAAGCTCCCAATGAGAGCATTTTCAATGATGTTAGATGTTTTCTATGATGATGATGTTAGAAATAATTACTCCAAATACATAAAATGGGCCCCATAAAAATATTTTTTAAGCAGGTACTTTTCCTTGCCTTTGCTTATAATTCCTTTCTATTTATATGAACTTACCTTTTGAATTTGACCTGCCCTTTGAGATACTGGAATAAAATGAGATACTGCAACAGGATATGTCGCCGAAAATTACTGTCACTCAGCTGTAAATCCATCAACTATTCAAAAATCAAGCATACAAACAAAACAGCATATTAAGATCATGTTTTGAAAGGAACAGGTAATACCACTATAGGAATGGAATATTCTCATTCAGTTGAAAGGTATTTGTTGTGAGATCAATCAAAACAATGTTATTGCTCAAGCCCAAGGACAAAGCAGCAGCAGGTTCAATTTAGACTTATCTCTGACCACTTTATGGTGAAAACAATGTTTCTGTTTATGGTTCTGACACTTGGGCAGAACTATAACAAAGCTGTCTCCTTCCCACATAGAAAGGAATAATGGCTAAAGGAGAAATCCATGTGGGAAAAACAGCACAATAATCAAGGAGTGTCATTTCTTTCTGTAGCCCTATAAATGTCTGCACCTAAAGTGGTACTCAACATAAGACAAGGCATTAGAAGTTAAGAATCATCTGTGAATTTGAAGTGGCTACTTCTTAGATTTTAGACACAATGTGTCATATTGTATTATTACAATGTGGGTAAGAAGAGAGCTGAAGATCATTAATAAGCAAGTTCTTCAGCAATTCTGTCACTGTGCTGGTTCTACTATAAAAATGAGCTCCAGGGGGCTGGGAAGGTGGCTCAATTCCTCAGGACCACACAGAAAAGAAAAAAAGCCGTAAGTGGTGCTGTGGCTCAAGTGGTAGAGAGCTAGCCTTGAGCTGAAGAGCTGAGGGACAGCACCCAGGCCCAGAGTTCAGGCCCCACACCAAAAGAGCTCCAGCAACAAAGGAAAATCATTCCAATTATACCCATACAGAGCTGAAGAAAAGCTGAAGATAGTATTTACCCACTGTGTCAATTCTGCTATTAAGACTGAGTTCCAAATGGAACAACAAAAACCAACAACCCAAATGGAACTTGGCAGAAGAAAAAGTTTCTCATCCCCAATAATGAATAACGAGTAACATGGCAAAAGCTCTGACTGATTTCTGGTTCAACAGCTCAAGTTCTATTGGTTAGCTTCAAGTGGCATGTTTCTGTCTACTAATACAGTATACCATGTGCTAGCCATTTCATTCACTAGCAACTTCTTCCATACTCTTCACTCTTATTTAAGCAAACTTCACACCTTTGAAATACGATAGGCCTTCAAATCAATTTTCTACCACCTACAGCAATTTATTCAATTCTATTATTAATCAGATTGAATTTCCCATTCCAAACTGGCAAATGCAAACCACATGCCATCAGCTGTCATTTCCTCTAAAACCTAGGTGATTTTTCTCTCACCATGAACTCTTGGTTCCTTGATCTCAACCCCACAGGTATAACCACCTCTTCCTTGGTTACTCACAGAATGGCCAATTAGACCTGGTATTGCTCACAATGCCCCAGCCTTGAATTTTTTTTTTTTTGGTCCGGTCATGGGGCCTGAACTCTGGGCCTGGGCACTGTCCCTCAGCTCTTCAGCTCAAGGCTAGCACTCTACCACTTGAGCCACAGCGCCACTTCCGGCTTTTTTGTTTTTGCTTATGTGGTGCTGAGGAATCGAACCCAGGGCCTCAGGCATGCAAGGCAAGCGCTTTAACCACTGAGCCATCTTCCCAGCCCCTTGAATTTTTTTTTTTTGGTCTTTTTTTGTCGGTTGTGGGGCTTGAACTCAGGGCCTGGGCCTGGGAGCTGTCCCTGAGCTCTTTTGCTCAAGGCTAGTGCTCTACCACTTTGAGCCACAGCACCATTTTTGGCTTTCTCGTGGTTAATTGGAGACAATTATGGATTTTCTTTCATGGGCTGGCTTTTAACCGAGATCCTCAGATTGCAGCTTCCTGAATAGTGAGGATTATAGGCATGAGCCACTAACACCCCACCAGACTTCTGAAATCTTATCTCATAATCCTCCTGTCTTAATATAGTCTTCTAACCTTCCCAGCTCTCTTCACAGTTGGTTACAATAGCTAATATTTATATTTTATTGGGAGTTTTAATCTCTTGAGTTCTCTAGTAAGTCTCATTCTGGTTAAAAAAAATTAAAATATCATTTTAGTACAGCTAAGGAGTCAGGAAAATTTTTCCTAAAATGATAAACAGTAAATTTTTTTAGGCTTTGTGGAACAAGAAGTACAGCATTGCTATCATGTAGGTAGTTGTACAAGCATGTAAAATGTAAAAACAAGCAATGGGCCAAGCTGTGGGCTGTGTCATTTGCCAAAACTCCAGTTTCACTATTCAATCATTTTCTTACCTAATTTCTCAACATTCCTGCCCTACAGTTCTTTTACATCTGAGCACAGGGCAATCTTAGTTTTACTTAGTCTCACACTGACCCTAGGCTTCCACAAGCACACCAAATCACAGACTATGCAGGTTTTTCCACTGCTCTGCTGCCTCCAACATCAAAACCTCTTTTCATTTCTAATCAGCAATATTTATTTTTTTTTAAGTCAGTGCTAGAACTTGAACTCAGTCCCTTTCACACTCTCTCAGCTATTAGTTATGGCTGGTGCTCATGCCTTAGCCTTCTTTCTTTAGTCTTTAATAATATTTTTTTTATTTTTGGGTCTGGTCATGGGGCCTGAACTCTGGGCCTGGGCACTCTTCAGTTCAAGGCTAGAGCTCTACCACTTGAGCCACAGCGCCACTTCCTTTAAGAATATTGTTAAAGCTGGGTGCCAGTGGCTCATGGCTATAATCCTAACTATTCTGAGGATCGAAGTTCAAAGCCAACCTGGGCAAAAAAGTCCATAAGACTCTTACCTCCAATTAAACACAAAAACTAGAAGTAGAGTTATAGTTCAAGTGGTAGAAGGCTAGCCTTGAACAAAAAGCTCAAGGACAGCACCCAGGTGAGAAGAACAGAAGAGGAGGAAGAGGAAGGAGAAAGAAGAAGAACAAAAGAATTTTACACTACCATAAGGAAAAATGAAGCTGGGTGCCAGTGGCTCTCATATCTGTAAAAATTCTAGTTACTTAAAAGGCTGAGATTTGAGAATTGTGATTCAAAGCCAGCTAAAAAAAGCCAGACTCTGAGCATGCGATTCTGAGTTCCAACCCAAAACACAAAAAAGAGAACAAAATCATATCACTGCAGGAAAATGGATGGGACTGGAGAACATGATGGTGAGATATACCTAGCGCAAAAAGGCAAGTACACTTTGTTTTCATTCATGTGGATGCTAAGGCTAAAAGACATACATTTTCATGGACATATATAAAGATACATATATATCTATATACATAAAATTACATATATATGTATATACTAATATACTAATACTAAGGATTCTAACTAGGAGGTGTGTAGGGAGAATGGGAAGGTAGAGATGAGGAAAGAGGAATGAAAAATGGAGGGTGAATCATTTCAAAATATAGTCCAACTGTATCTGAAGGTGGTATAAGGAACTTTTTTTAGTCAAAATGGTTTCACTCATTACTTGGCATTTCTGGTTCTTGAAAATATTTATCTTGTTTCTGGAAGCCAAGTTTTTTCTTTTAGGTTTGTTCTTTCAGTATTTTACCTGTCATTTCTATGTGTTTAGAGCAAAGAGAATGAGTTAACATAAACTCAATGTGCTATTTTGACTAGAAAAGTTATATAATTTCTTAGCATTGTATTTTAGCAAAGTCTACTTATTAAAATGTATAGAAAAATGTATAGGTAAGATTAATAGGGAACTCTGAACTTCTTACTTGTATCTAAATAGCAAAATAATCACAAAGGATTATTTTGTACATTTATTACTTATAAATTCAAATTAAATCCTAACTTAAGAGTTAAAATATATTTTAAAGTATGTGGACCTTATGGTTTCTTTCACAACCATTCATCTCTGCTCTTGTATTGGAAAACCAGACATAAATGAATGAACAAGACCAAATTCCAGTACAACTTACATTCAGATAAGCCACATTTGCTGATCACTGCTTAAGTTCATTCATTTTTAGTGATGAAAAGAATTTTGTCATACACATTTAGCTACTTATCAAATCTTGCTAATGAAGAGAGGCTGTTTCTAAACTATAACTTACAAACACACCATTTATAAAACAGTGCGGTAGGGCTTATATATTTCATTAGGCACATATGTGATTCTCTAGATGTCATAACTAAGAGCAAAAGTTTTAACTTTATTATTATAAAGTTGTTATGCAGTGGTTGATTCAATTTTTATCTCACCCAATAGTATATGAAAGTTCTCTTTTTCCATCTTTGACAATACCATTTGTCAGTGTTTGCCAATTGGTATTAAATAGTTACCTCATCATTCTATTTCTAGTATAAATGGAAAGTTATTAAACTGTATTTATACACGTCCAAGTAAATAGCACTTTCAAGTTAATATCGGCTTTATTCAAAATCAAAGTAACATTTCTATCGAACTAAAAAAATACTACCAGTGACAAAAAACATCATGATGCTATGTGGAAAAAAAGCAAGGTACATACCTTTTCACTTGTTAAAAATTTTGCAAAATAGACATGTTCTCCTCCTGTTTTCAGCTCTTCCATCTTTTTTCTGGATGCCTGAGTATCATCTAATTTATAACTCTTAAAAACAGCTAGAACTTCTTCAGAATACTGCAAAGTTAAAAAAAAATCAAGTTAGTAGTTTTAGCGTTGTTACCAAAACTTTGTTTAGTGCTTTTCTGTATCAAAAACTTAAGACTTTACTCTCAATCAACCATATATGTATGATGTTAAGGTACACCAAATAAAAAAAAAACTATGGGGCTGGGATGGTGGCTCAGTGGTAGAGTTCTTGCCTTGCATGCATGAGGCCCTGGGTTCGATTCCCCAGCACCACATAAGCAAAAAGAAAAAAAGCCGAAAGTGGCGCTGTGGCTCAAGTGGTAGAGTGCTAGCCTTGAGCTGAAGAGCTGAGGGATAGCACCCAGGCCCAGAGTTCAAGCCCCACGACCGGACCCCCCCCCCAAAAAAAACTATGACAGCAATATGGTAGCAAAAGGGTTGTAAGAATTATTTTATATATTCATATAAGATGAAATGGAATGAAATAACTCTAGTCCTTCTTATAAAGTCTGTATAAAGGGCAGATAGAGAAAGGAATGCTTTGAAAGCATAGTAGTCCTTTGGTATCTGTGGGACATTGGTTCCTGGATCTTAGTCCTGCCAGTGGAACCCAAATCTGAGGATGCTCAAATTCCTTATAAAAGATGGTATATTATTTACATACAATTGCTGCATATTCTCCTGTATACCTAAATGCTTTTTCGATTACCTGTAATCCACAAAATACTTTGTGTGGGTGGGGTACTAGAGACTGAACCTGGCCTGGCTCTTGTGCATGTACTAGGTGAGTGCTCTATTACTTCAACCACATCCCCAGTCTTCTATTTTATATAATGTAGATGCTAAGAAAAATGTTACACTGTATTATTCAGGAAATGACAAGAAACAAGTCTGTATATATTCAGTAGGGATATAATACATTCTTAAATATCTCAATCTAGAGTTAATGGGAGCCATCGATAGAGAACCTAATGACAGAAAGGCTGTCTGTATATAGAAATTCATTAGTTAAATTGTTTAACCAGCTGTGGGAACGCTCAAACCTTTCTTGTGATAAGACTGTGACCAAACAAAATCATGTCATCAAAGTCTGTCCAGTTGGAAGACAATTCCTTCTGATTTGTCACTAACCACTTATTCTGCATTTGAATGATACTCCACTAAATTGGATATGAAATAGAAACTTAAAAATAACACATAACACACCACTATTAATAGCAATAAGACCTATTTACCCTACATTTCAATTACAATATTAAGGAAAACTGTTATTTGAGGGAAAAAGAAAGACCAGGAAATATAGAAAATTCTTCTAAAAACTGGGTTGACAAACTTTCTGAGACAGACGAGGCAGTCTTAAGTTTTAAATGGTACACGTAGTGTCAGGTGCAACTACTCAGCCAAAAGAAACATAAACTCCAGCACAAATGAATTCCAATAAACCTTGTATGCAAACCAATAGGCTGATTTGACCTAATACCATAGTCTTAATAGGATAACTAAAATAATTTTGTACAAAGACAGTTTTATGCAAAAAAATCATCAATTTATATATATTCTACATATGAAAAAACCCTCAAGGAACTACTATATTTTTTTGACAGTCTGGAGCTTGAACTCAGAGCTTCGGTACTGTCCCTGAGCTGCTTTTGCTCAAGGCACAATGCTATTTCTGGCGTTTTCTGTTTATGTGATTCTGAGGAATTGAACCCGGGGCTTCATG